AAAATATAGGTAAATCTGTGAAATATTTATATTACTGAAACTCGGATTGAATATTTCTGATAATAGTATGTACATAATTTATTTAAAAGACTTTCGAACTTCCAGTTGGCTTTGTACTGCATATATCGGTCAATATGTAAAGTATCTTAGGAAAATAAAGTGAAAATATAACACTGGATATCCATAACATAACGCCAAAAAGTGTATGAAATCGGTCAGCTAATTACCCCAGCCCCCATATACTACCTTTTTCACAAAATATTATATAAATATGTTCTTTAGTAATGGCAAAAGTTAAAGTAATCAGCCCGGGTTTTCTGCTAGCCCCAATATCCGCGATATAGTGATTTCAATCCTATTTGACTATCCATCTGAACTTAAAGCGTTTATATCTGTTAAAATTAGCCTACACCATGGTCCACATTTCATATCCCTAGTATACTGATTTCCGATTCCGAAGTGAACATATTTATGCTTAAAAAGAGTAAATTGTTGTCTAGGGTGTAGCTGAAAATAAAATCGATACCAAAAATTTATAAAATGTTTGAATAATAATAAAAACGTTACGTATACGCAGTGGTGGAGGCACATTCTTGCATAAGTCTAGTAAGTATTTGATAATATAGTTTCAGCTTTGCCGCTTTATGCAGGAACGATGGATGTATGGATAACGTGTTAGATCGAGGGTTTGAAGTTGTGTATACGCTGTGGTGTCCTGATATTTAATCAGGCAACGAATTATTACATATTGAATATTTATATCAAATTGTCGATCCATAGAAACATGTCAGGTCACGTAGCTTTGGAGACGACAATAAGTGTGTGACTATTATGCGTTATAATGTGGGCTCGCATATCCAATAAAACTAAGTAAAATCCTTTCTTCTCTCTGTCTGCATTTGTAAGTATATGAAATTTTCCATACGTCCTTTTCTTGCCAAGAAGCTGCTTGTTTGGAAGCCTTGTATGGAAAACTTTTTTATTTGAGAAATTATCGTGAGCAAATTTGGCATAAATTATTATCTAAAGCACTAATACGTTTTCCGAAGAAATAGAAGAATAGATCGGACAACTATGCTATAGTGCAGCCATACAAACTGACCAATCAAATCCAAATCCTTGTATGGAAAACTTTTTTATTTGAAGAGGTATTGTGACGAAATTTAGCACAAATTATTATCTAAGGCATCGCTTCAATCTCCGGGCACATTGTTCAAGAGGTCGGACATTGCACTTTCAATCTTATTAACTATTTGGAGGAGTCTTTTCTTATACGCTATTTTTTGTTAGCGTAGAATTTTTAAAATATTTAACCGCCTTCCGAACCACTTACTGCATGAAGTCACATGTACTGTCCGAGAATTCAAACATTCTATCGATGCGAGATTACTCTTCGATAAAATGTGTACAATAAGATACCAATAACCTTATCGAGCAAGTAGATATACATATATGATAGAGCATTGTATAATAGTATGCATCAAATGTACTTCATTCGTGAATAAATAATTAAAAACAACTTTTTTGCAGAGCAGAAATATTTGTATTCGAATAAAACTTATTCAAAGTGTAGATTTGCTTACTTAATGCAAAATATCAAAAAATCCCATAGTATATGCGTTGGAAAAGAATATGGTTAAGGCACGTTTTAAATTGAAAATACAGAGCTTGTTTACATCGGACTCTTTTTTTTAATAGCAAAGTTTGAAACTTCAGGAGGCGTTTGCAAAAACAAAATTAATTTGGGAAATAACGTACACTCTAATATAAATACATATCCATATTGATGTAAATATATTTGACTGACCCGGTGTGTGTTATTGATTTCAGCACTTCCTCATTAAGTACACAAGAATTGTGAGGTCTGGTGACTGGAGTGTTATATAATATTTACCTTTTTCCAGTATTTCATATCTCAGACAACTTGAGGTTGTAATACAATAATTTAAAGCAATTTTTTTGTAAAGTCAACAAAATGAAGTTTAAAGCCTAATATTATTAAAGAGTCTCAGAAACTCCTAATTTATATTATAGTTAGATGCGCAATTAAGTTCCCGCTGTTTGGAAATATAAATATGATATATCCAAAACGTGATAAACTTAACCTAGGCATTTAAAAAAAGAAACTGCGTTTCCACATTAGTGACTTTGTTTATGTTTCATATACTTTTGGTTGCACGAATATGTCCGATTTTGCTAACTAATTTTCATTTGCGGAAGGTGTAGATTTTCTTCATCCAGTCGACGGCTGAAGCAAATCGGGAACTCCAAAAAGTTTACGAAGGTGCTGCCCCAAGCAAAACAACGTGCCGTGATTATTTTCGTCGGTTCAAATACGGCGATTCGATTTTATCGACCCGCCAAGTCATTTCAAAGCGACTATATGCGCTGGGAATTCTTCAGAAACAAGGAATTTGGGTTTCTTATGATTTGAAACGCCTTTTCACGTGAGAACAATTGCCCTACAGCAAAGGAAAGAAAGTGGTTTCTTCATCGAATTGTATCGGGTGATGAAAAGTGGATTCATTACAGTAATCTAAAGAAAATAAATGCCCGGTCATGCTTCAACGTCGTCGCCTCGGCCGAATATTCACGCTGGGAAAGTTATGCTGTGTATTTTTTGGGACCAGGTGTTTTATTATGAGCTGCTGAAACCAAATGAAACCATCATTGGGTACATGACTACGCTCGGCCTCACGTTGCCAAACCCGTTAAAACCTACCTGAAGACGCTAAAATGAGAAGTCCTACCCCACCCGCCATATTCCCAGGTATTTCACCGTCCGATTATTATTTGTTCCATTCGGTGGCACATGGTCTGGCACAGAAGCAGTTCCACTCACAAGACGACATCAAAAAATGGCTTGATTCTTGAATAGCACCACAAGTTGAACAATTTCAACGCAATGGTATTCGAGCTTTGCCAGAAAGATGGGAAAAAATTGTGACCAGCTATGGGCAATACTTCGAAAAATTCAATTATAACCATTTCCTTACAATAAAAATTCAAAATTTGGCGGAAGTTAAATAGAAATATTTTTAAACTCTGAAGTTGTATAGGTATAAGGCTAAACTATTTGACACATTTTTTATATTCTACAGTACTAGTGTTACGTGTCTCATCATGTCATACTATATGGCTCTGAAAATGTGTTTATTCGCGCTAAAAGTTTGTCCTTGACAGTTTTTCGATTGATTTACTCAGTTCGTTGTAAGCGCTCGTCAAAGATGGACACCAGCAAAGAGAAAATTCACTATGTTTTACAATTTTTCTTCGATCAAGGCGACAAAGCGGCTGAAAAAATTAATTTAGTTTATGGGCCCGATACTGTAAACGAACGTGTAGCACAAAAGTGATTTGCTAGGTTCCGTTCCGGTAATTTCGATGTCAAAGATGCACCACGCGTCGGGAGGCCTGTCGTCGAAAATCATGGAAATAGTGGAAACAGACCGTCACGTGAGCACTTATTTAATTGCTGAGGAAATAAAGATAAGCCAGAAAACCGTTTGGAACCATTTGCATAACCTTGGATTCAAAAAGAAGCTCGATGTTTTGGTGCCAAACGAACTAACGCAAAAAACATGATGGACCGAATTTCCATCTGCGAATCGCTGCTGAATCGCAACAAAATCGACCCGTTTCTGAAGCGGATTGTGACTGCCGATGAAAAATGGGTCACTTACGACAATATCGAGCGCAAACGGTCGTGGTCAAAGCTCGGGGAAGCGGCCCAGACGGTGGCCAAGACCGGATTGACGGCCAGGAAGGTTTTGCTGTGTGTTTGGTGGGATGGGCAAGGAATCATCTACTGCGAGCTGCTCCCCTATGGCCAAACGCTCAATTCGGCCCTCTACTGCCAACAACTGGACCGCTTGAAGGCAGCACTCATCCAGAAGAGGCCATCTTTGATCAACAGAGGCCGAATTTTGTTCCATCAGGACAACGCCAGGCCACACACGTCTTTGGTTACTCGCCAGAAGCTCCTGGAGCTCGGATGGAAGGTTCTAATGCACCCACCTTATAGTCCGGACCTGGCACCAAGTGATTACCATCTTTTCCTGTCCATGGCGAACGCGCTTAATGGTGAGAAGTTGGCCTCAAGAGAGGCCTGTGAAAATTGGCTCTGGGAGTTTTTTGGCAATAGGGACGCAGTCTTCTACGAGTTGGCATCTCGTTGGCAACAAGTTTACGAACAAAACGGCGCATATTTGACTTAAATCGGGCAAATGTACACAAAGTTATCATCTTTTGAAAAATCAATATAAAACCGAACGAACTTTTTACTTTACCTAATATAAGGTTTTGTGAACACTTGAAGGTATCTCTACAGTTTCAATCTTTACAATTTTCGAGAGTAGAAAATGTTCGATTACACCTGAACTTAGCCCTTCCTTACTTGTGCGAAGGAATATAGACCCATATCTATATATATATATATATATATATATATATATATATAAGTGTTATTCCAACATTCATTGCTTTAAGTAGCCTTCGAAGGCGTGGAGCAGTCTGGGATAGCTGGTGAGGACTTCGTTCTTGACCGCACTAGAACTAGCCAACTCATCCTTTTTTATTTCCTTCGCACTGTCTATTGATTGGTGCTTTCCTTAATTTTGTACAGTGAGACTTTGTCTTGACTTGACGGTTCGCCTTAATGATTGATGCAAAAGCACTTTTCGCCCCTTTTTTATACCTTTAATACAAGCCCGAAAGACAGAATTGTAGTCATTTAGTTTAAATTCCCTTCTAAGGGTTGCTACAGAAGAATCTTCACTGTCACTGCTACGCATTTCAATCCATCGAAGAATATTTAAAAGCTCCATTGATATTGTCGATAACTATAATTTCGAACTCACCTTTTATTTTCGAGAAAGAATGTAATATTTTTATCTCCCCAAAAATCTTTTTTAACCATCGCGTTGACAATTCAGCTCGAGTTCTCTAACCAGATTCACTTTACTGCCATGTACGGAGGGCTTTAAGAGGAGTTCAATTGATTAAAACTTAAAGCCAGCTAGCTGTAAGCGTACCTCATTTAATCTAATCATTAGCAGGACATAAAGTAAAATTCAGTAATTTTATGGATTCATATTGGCTAATATAATGATTTTGTATTATGACATAAACATTATGATATTATATATTAAGAAAATGAATATTTGTAATAAATAAAATTAATAGAAACTTTTTTTACAATTTATAATATTTTAAAAATGAGTCGGACGCTGCGCAGCAAGCCCTGTAACCATTACAAATGGAATTATATCCGCTTGTCCGACGTATTCGACACCGACTCTTATACGCAGCAAAAAGTAGCGCTCTCTCTACTAACATATCAAATAATGAAAACAGTTCATGTATGTATGCATGTACTATGTAAGAATATGTATGGATGTAGGACAAGAAATACCGTGGCATGGAACGAGTTTCTAATACAATATATAGAAAATGGTGCATCTACTTGGCGGTACGTCGTTTAGTCAGCGGCGTTGTGGGCGTCGGTGGTTTTATCTGAAAAAATAATTGAGCATATTAGCTAAGGGGTAAGGACATCCAAATATCCGAAACTCACCGCAGCACGAATTGGCTTCGCTGTGGCAGCATTTGCTGGCGGTGGATCACGTGGCTGTGGACCATTCTCATCTCCAACCACTATTACTGCCACCGGACGATTTTCGGCCGCCATGCGTTCGGTGCTCTCACTACGTGATGTTGAACCCGCACGCTTAAACATACCTGATAAACGACCACGTAAGTCTTTTTTGCTGGCGCGCATATCACTGGCCACACTAATATCAGAGTCAGATCCTTGAATCTGTCAAATCATGAAATATGTACTTGTGAGTAGAGTAGATTGCTTAAGCTGAAGCAGATGATAAACTTACCGACACTTCACTCTCGGAATTACGACTACTCTTTGTTAGACTACGCAGTTTGCCCATCAAGCTTTTCTTTTTCTTACGCGGACCGCGCGGTATGTCACTCTGTGTTGAGCCACCAGATAAACGCGAATCGAAACTGCTATCACGCACCATGCCACCCAATTCAGAATCAATGGACTGCATTGATGAAACGCTGCCGTCATCCTGACGCCAAATATTCTGTTATAAAGGAGAAGTCGCATTATAAAAATAAAAATATTACAGCTCAACAAAACAACAACCTGATCCTTCTGTATTGAATGATCCAGCGACAGACTCTTTCTTATTAAGCTACCATTATGCCCTGACGAGCGCGATAGCTTGGAACCATTCCTTGTGGAGCCTACAGCGCTTGCAACTGAACTTTGACTGCCATGTGGATCGTTTTCCTGCGATGCTGCACGTCGCAAATTACTACGCCTCATACGCGTTCGCTCGTTTTCATCTTCACTTAGACGCTGGAATTTGCGCAACTCCTCAGATGCCTCAGCCAAACGCGCCAGCACATTAGTTATTTGTGAGTTATTAAGCGCACTACTGGGCGATGGACTGCGACTACGTTGTCGCGCTGTACCTGCTGCATCCGGTCGCAATGTGTTGCCACTGCTCGATGTGGAGCGACTGCTTGTTGTTGCCATCTTCAAATCTGGCGCTATTTTTACTAATTCATCGACGGTTTGCAACAATGCGCCTACTTTACGCTCACCACCATCTTGTTCCATGCGTCGTTTCACCAACTCCTTTTCGTAGCGCTCACGCTCGCGTCGCAATTTTTCATTAGATGTGCGTAGTTTGGCGTGCACATCACGTAATTCGAGCAAGTCACATTGTAACTCGGCGATCTTTCGTCGACCCTCCTCCATCTCCTCTTCGGTTGAGCGTTTCAATTGATCTAAACGGCGCTTTGATTCCAGTCGCTCCTTATCCCGTTCACGCTCAACTTCAAAGAGCGTTTGCCGTAAATCGCGTGCTAAAGTTGAGGTTTCTTGCAGCAGGCGCTGTTGATCTTCACGCTCCTTTTGCCATGAGAGTTCTAATTTCGTTTTCATACCTGGTATTTTTGTACGTCCTGAACCAATGACACGATCTTCCTCGAATTCATTGAGTTTGGATTGCATCTCAGATATTTTTATTTCATTTGCACTGCGCTCCGATACAAGCTCTGTCTTTACTTTGCTCACCTCGAGACGTGCTTCAACTAACTGATCCTCCAGGCAGCCGATCTAGCAAGGTTCAACATTAAAATTGAGTTGTGGTATTGATGAAACTAAATAAATGTAATAGCAAACCTGTTGTTCAAGATATGCAATTTTACTCTTATCATCATCATCACTGCTATGCATTGAACTGCGACTCTGACGCCCTGTGTTCGATTTCAGTTCGCCGATCTTTTTCTGTGCGGATTCCAACATTTGTTTGAAGGCATCGCGATCCTTTTTGAACTTCTCACATTGGCGCTGTAAGGAAATACATAATACAGTAAAGGTATCGGTTTTTGAGAATTTGAGGCACCGAAATGGTATTAGTAAACTCAACCATATCAAAGACTGTCTATATAAATTGTTAAAGATTCCACTGAGCAAAGTAAAGTGATATAAGATTACTTCATTCAGACTAATCAGTTGCTTTTACAGTAGGCACAGCTGCTGTACATCGGCATTACTGACATAAAAATAGTTCTCAATAAAAGTATAGAACCCATCCATTTGTAGAATAGTACACAAACGATTAAGAATACAAGAAAATTATAGAGCCTCCGAATATTATTTTTCTTGTATATGTTTCAAAATTAACTTAGTGTTGAAGACCATATTACCATTTTAAACATACAAGTAGCATCCGTGGACAATGCCGGCAAGTGTATTTCGGCGAAGTGCGCTTTAAGGCTCAAGGGAGCTGGATATATGAATGGGACCGAACGAGGGCACGCCGAGGTTCTCTCTCCCTTCAACTGAGTTCCTGAAAACTTGGATCACTGTATCGCAGAGGCCACTCGTAGCTACTTTTTCTTTGAGACAAATTTGTGATAGGCTCAAAACGCTTTGTCGATTTGTAGGGGAATTATGATCTACTATATAGGAGTTTTAAATACCACAACGAACCGATATTGTAAGCGGTCCAAGTGAAATCTCTATTAAAATCGACCTCTTAACCTAACCTGTTCCTCGTTCAGAAGAGTAATTTCCAACAAACAAGAGAGAGACTTAAGCACTACTAAAAAAAAACGGTAGGTCCAGCGTGGAATGAAGAATTTAATTTTTATTATTGGGATTATGATTAAACTTTGTCCTTAAATAATGTGACACATCGGAATCTAATCTAAACTCACCTGCATGGAAGTCAGTTCGGCACTCAAATTCTTGACTTGTTGCTCATAACGCAGACGTGTGGATGCCACATCGGATTTGAGCTGTAATTCCGAGTTCTGTAACCTGGAAAATTGTACAAACGAAAGCAAGTATTTTACGAAACATCTAAGCTTTACTACTTCTTAGTTTCTACTCACTTCGTTTTCAGTGTTTTAATTTCGGCCTGCAAGCTACTACTATGCTCATTAATCGAATACTGCGCTTGCTCGATGCGATTAAAATCATTTAGTTTACTACTTAAATCATCATTTTCCTTACGTAACTGAAATACTAAATCTATATTCATCTCATTTTCTCGGCGCAAACGATCATATTCTAGTTCCTTCTCTGCCAATTTATTTTTCAGCATTGTCTTCTCATGTTCAGAAGCGCCGTTTTTATTCTGTTTCGTCTCAGCTTCTTGCAACTTGCGTTTCATTTCGCTCAGTTTTTTCGCCAGTTCTGTACGTTCCAAACGTATGTCATCCATTTCAGTGAGCTTTTGTTGTAGCGAATTCAGCTCCACTTGCATATTATCTTTCTCGGTGGTTAGTTGGGCGCGCATTAGTATCGTTTCTTCTGATAATTTTTCCCAATGTGTATTCAAATCATTGTAACGTTTATTTTCATCAGCTACTTGTTTCTGCAGTTCTTCAATTTGCTTTTTAAGCTCTTGCACTTGTTTCGAATCAGATTTTGAAGATTTAGCTTTGAGTTCCTTTACTTCCTTCTCAAGGGTTATTTTTGTTTTTTCCGCTGACTTCTTGGCACTGGCAAGATCGGCATCCAATTGTGCAAGTTTAGACTCGAGTTTGTCGCGCTCTTTGCGCTCCTTTTCGTAATCCTTTTCCAGCGTATTTAGCTTTTCTTTGTCAAGCTTTGTCTGTGTTTCCAGCGCGGCTTTTGCTGCTTCAACCTTCTTAATCTATATGTAGCACAAACACAGTAAGTAATAGATTTCGTAATTGTGAATCGAAATGCATTGTAACTTATTACCTGGCTATCTTGTTTTTTGATCTTATCTTCCAGCTCCTTGACTTTAGAACTGTGTTTTTTAGCTTCATCGTCAGACTTCTTTAATTTCTGCTCCAGTTCACTAAGTTTCGGTGAGGAACTTGTCAGTGTTTTTAAGCGATCTGTTGCAAAATAAATAAAGATTTAGTATTTAAAAACTTTTTTTTGGTTTTGCAGATTTCGAAATATTCATTACTCCAGCTATAAACAAATGTAAAACTACTAGCTAAAAACATATAATTTTCTCGCTAAATGCCAGAATTTCTCTTCTAACACTTTCAGTAACTACTGTTTCAAACCATCTATGTCCGCTAAAAGAATCCCAACTCTCCCAGAGTGTTTGCAAACCCTACTTCTCATGCAAAACCAGCCTTTGTATCACCGATTTTATCATCATCAAAAACAGGATTTTATGTATATGGGTCTTGGTGCAAATAACCCGAAGACAGATCTTCTCAAACTATAATGGTAGCTAAGCCGCCAGAATAAATTAGTACTGCATTCAATGGATATTAGACTTCACTTCCAGGAAAAATTTTTTCCACCGATCTCGATAAAAGAAATATTAACCCCTTATAAATCTCACCAATTCATAAATAGAATCAGTATAAGAGCCCGACAAACTATAAAATTCCAGAAAGAACTATTTCTTACAATAAGTCGTGAGAAATGAAAGGTCTCATGTACGAAGATAGCTAAATATCCAAAAGAGACCACTAGAGCTAGCGGATATATGACTTTCAATTCACACAGTTTGTGTTATTGTCGGGAAAAGAGCTACATAATCAGTCTAGGATCAAATATTATCATTTAGGAAAGGTAACATTGCTGAACTCACCAATATCACCCTCAGCTACAGATAAACGCTGTTTGGCTTTCTGCAACTGCTCCTCCAGAGTCGCCTTTTCAGTCTCAAGCGTTTTAACTTTATCACCGCCACTATTCAATACTATCACACGCATTTCGCGTATCTCATCCTCCAGCTCTTCGATCCATTTCTTTAAATGATTCTTTGGCGTCAGATCTGTTACACGTTTAGGCGTGCGAACGGGCAGTTTCTCTTCAGCTTCCTGCAATAGGCATTTCAATTTGCTATCCAACTCATTGCGTTCACGCTCCATTTTTTCAAGCGATTCCTTCAATTTCGGAAGCTCCTCCCCATTCGCGCCATTTTTATCCAGTGACGTACTCTTGCGTAACGCCTGCAATTGCATGCGTTTATTATCCTTCAGCAACTTCTCATTTTCGCTTTCCAAAGTAGAGATTTTCGTGCGCAACACCGACGCCTCTTGTTCGACCAATATCAATTGTCGCTTCGCATCTATATTGACATCTTGTGGTAGCGCGGAGCCCGTTTTAGCCGCAATCTCCGACTGCAAGCGTTCGATTGTGCGATCTTTATCGGATAAGGATTTCCGTAACTGCATTAGCTCCTCAGTGAGTGCTTTTAGTTTCTTATCTGCGGCATTTGCCGGCGTTGAGTTGAAAGAGAGCAAAGACGATTTCTTGTCTCCCGACTCTACCTGATAAACTTTCTCCTGCAGCTCTCTGACATGCCTTTTAGTTTCACGATTTTCTTTCTCCAAATCATCAACACGCTGACGCAGTATAGCCGCCTCTTGTTCGTTTAGTTCCAAAAGTATGCGTAACTCGGCGGGATCATCCTCATCGGATATACCTTCGTCCCTTTCAGCTGCCGATTCAGGCATCAGACGATGTGGTATCGGGCTCAGTTTGCGTGTAGCTGTAAAGTTACAGTTGGAAATGTGTTAAATTCCATGCAGAATTATTTTTTTTTTCAGACAATCAAGTAACTTCATCATGCAAAGCTTCGAAATGATGGGTTTAAATGAAATAAAATTATTCATAGTGTATATTGATTAGTCAATTTAAGTATGTATTAGTTTCTGTTGATGAGCAGCTGTAAAAAATGGCAAGTACTTGGCGGTAAGAAGCAAGTTATAAATCAAATTTAGGTTAGTTTGGTTCAAATTGGTAAATTTGTAATAATTGAAATTTATATAAATGCAAACTGTGTTCTTCGTAAGGGTAATGTGCCCAAATATAACGAGAAAATTTAGCATGGTTTTAAAAATAATTTGATTAACATGACAAAAATACAAAATTTTTTTTTCAACTCATATATATGTTCGTACTTCTGGAGCGTGTTGCCATTTTTTTCAACTGCATCATTAGCGAATCATTCTCATCCTCGTAGCGGGCAACCTTTTTCCTCAAATTTTCAGCCTGTAATTGTACAATTAGGACAAATAATTAGTATATTAACAGAATTTAATTCAATCGTGCAAAAATAAATTTAATTTATATTTCCCATTTGTTTCTAGATAAAGATAAAATGGAATGGCAATCCGCTGCTTTGACCCATACAAATCTTCCGATACGGATGGAATCATTATATCTACGCTCCAAAATGCGCTTCGCCAGGGATTTTTGGGGAATACCTGAAGTTCAGCTATGTGCCGCACACCACACAGAGGCCATTGTAATTTTCATAACGAAGGCAGGTATAAACAATTCAACCTACTCGAAAGGCTTATGAGCTTAACTTTCTTCCTGCTAAAAACGTTAGAGAAATTATTGGACGTGCATATCAGGACCGTAGTGAATACTGGAAGCGTGAAGAACAAGGAAATCTGTAGAGACACCCCGCAGGGTGGAGTGTTATCTCCTATGAACGTTAGAAGTTAATAATCTGTTAAGAAACATAGACGTCAAAGCCTCTACGATAGTAACAAACGACATATCACACCAATGCAGTGTCATGACCACCACTCTCAATACAGTCCAGAATTGGGAATCGCAAGCGGGTCTGGGGTTGAATTCAGGAAAAACGGATCTGCTTGTTTTCACTAGGAAAACAAAATCCCTTCATGGAGGCTTCCTTTGATAAATGGGGGACAGCTCTCTCTCAAGGACCGCAGCAAATACCTTGGGGTAGTCTTGGCCAGCAAACTGCTGTGGAAGCACAATGTGGTTGAAAGAGTAAGAAAGGCCAGCAATGCCTTATATGCGCGTTAACAGATGTTCGGCACAACCTGGCGGCCTTCTTCCTCTCCAGTAGTGTGGTGGACAGGCTGACGGAAATCTAACTACCAAAAGCCAATGAAAAGGGTTCAGAGGCTCGTTACGCTGTACATAATGGGAGCTCTAAGAACCACTTCGGCGACAGATTCTGAACTAGTGCTAAACCTGTCACCTATAGATCTCTTCGCTCAAAACTGCGACAAAATCAGCGGGAAGACAACTGACTGCAAGAGAAATTAAATATAGGATCTGCGAGCATTGCTCGGTGGGTAATAACGGTTTGGCAAGCACCGGCTACATGATCCCACTTCTCCATTGGGAAAGAGGGTTCAGAGTAAACATAGAAAAATATGGTTAGCTTAAAGGCACGTTAGCTGCGCACAACATAACAACATTAAATATTTATACTGATGGCTCGAAAATGAACGACGGTGTTGGTGCAGGGTTATACAGTTCAGAATTAGGCATAAGCCAGCATTTTAAGCTACCGGACCACTGCAGTATATCTTAAGCAGAAGTTTTTGCTTTTGAGAAAGCCGCGGAGCTAGCCTCTAAGGCAACTCTTCAAACATTTAGGAAGCCCACGGTATAAGAAACTGGAAGGGGTATAGGTACTGAGACCGTAAAACCTATTGAAATTCGCTTCAAGCGCTGGCATTCTGAAGGATGACTACTTGCCAACCCAAGGCGTGATGAAATTGGATTTTGTTATGTAATAAAATCAGTTGACGGCTAGAAGGGAGAGCGAGGTTTAAAATGCTTACAAAATGTACATTATAGGAGATCGTTCAGGACATTGAAGCGCTGTCGCCATCTCACACAGATTTATATCAGATTATCCTAACCTCTTTTTATGAAATTCCAATAAAACTTTGCTTTCATATCGAAGTTGTAAAGATTTAGTAAAAAACGATTGCACACTACTACCAACAATTTGTCAGTAGTAAAAACTACATAGATAACATTTTTTTGAGGAATTCATTGAAAGATACCTGCACTAGCGCCCAACATAAGCGCTTGCGACATTGCGGTTGGAAAGAGTAATGCAGGTGTTGCCCTAGGCGCCACTGCGGCAAACACCATTGCAAATGGTGAACATTCACGGTCACAAAAAGATTTTTGGTTTTCTACTGCAATGCGAGCATCAATCGAAGATTTTCTACTCTCAGTTTCAGTGCTGACGTCAAAAACATCAATAGGATCCGTTTCAGTCGAAGCATCGCAAATATTATTTACAGTTTCTATGGAAACTGCTCGTGTTCCAATGCTTTGTGTTTGTGTATCGACTTCGACATTTTGCGTTTGGGCCATTTGTGTAAAGTTTTCACGTGTCGTTAGTAAGCACTGGATGTGTTTCAACGTTAGCATCCGCATAAGACAATCGGCGCGTTTGTGTGCCACGCGGAAAACACAAAATCTCAGGGATTTCCAACGTTTGAGTACCAACGTTGACCAGATGCAACTTTTGACGCTTATCAACAAAGAAAATTTTCTTGATAAATTCTAAAATATCATAAGAAACCTTACCTCTTCCTCGGCAAACTTCAGCTGGTCCTTCAAATCCGATTCACGTTCCACAGAGTCTTGCAAGTCGCGCAATAATTGTAGTGGTGGCTGTGGATTTGCGTCCGCAGATGTGGACTTGCCAATAATGCCCAACATAGGCGTCTTTCTTTTGCCCGGATTGCGCAGCTCCTCAGCTTCAACCTAGTATAAAGAAACCATATTGAGAACTTCCAATATAAGTTGGTTATTTCAAACATTTACTTGTAATTTACGTGTTAATTCGTTTGCAAAACGAAGCTCTTCCTCAAGCTTATTGACCTTGGTCAACAAATCTGTATTGTAGTTGTTTTGTTTCTCCTGTTCCATAATCTCAACCTTACGTTCATATTTTTTAAGCTTGAAATTAAGTATGCGACAGTTTTTCGTCATCTTTTCTAGATCCTTTTGCAGATTTGTTTTCGCTTTCACCTCATCATCGCGATAGGTGTCTTGCAACTCATCCATTTCAGCCTGCAAATTGATGATCTCCTTCTTTGCATCCTGATTCTCCTCCATCAGCTCTTCGCAGAGCTGCTCGGCCGCCTGTAGTTTACGTTTTAGCTCATACTCGCTACCTTTCGGATTATTTTCTATCTCTTTCATGCGTATATTCAGCTTACGTTTCTCTTCGTTTACTTTTTCCAATTGGTCTTTCATATCGTTTACCTTTTGCTGCAACACTAAAGCCTCAGAGGCTGCGGTCCGATTCGACGCGGTGTCCATTGAGGCGAGCCGACGCAACAAAATATCACTTTTTTCGCGTTCGGCGCGCTCTGCACGTAATTTCATCGCTTCGTAGTCGGTGCGCAACCGCTTCAGCTCATCATGCAGCTCTCTATCGTTCGGACCCACCAAAGTGGTTTCTGTCGTTTCCGTCGTAAGGGAACTATTATCGTGCGTTTGTCTTTTATGCGCATACTTGGTATCTTTAATTTTCAGCATAAACTCCACATCTTCGGCAGATTTCAACCGTCTTGCTTCTTCCTTTTGCTGCCTCGATGCGGACGTTGTGGAAGTGCTTGCAGACGACTTAGCTGTTGAGCTTATGGAATTCATACGCGCGCCATTTGTTGTCGACGACGCTGTACTAACTGCTTTCGGTGTGATACCGGCGCTTGCTGTGGAAGTTGTTGTGGGAAAGGATGAAGTTGTGGAGGCTGTGCTGGAGGTTGTAACCTTCTTCGGGGGCAGCGAATTGCGTTTGACGGCAGCTTCTGCCATGGATGTGGTGGATTTGCTGCGCTCTGGTCGATCAGGTTGCGCTTTGCTCTCAGTATCGCTGGATGAATTGTTATCACTTCTTTAGTAACGAAATATATTTTTTTTGGAGGGGAAAGACAAACAAAAAGCGTGGACAAAACCAAACATGAAGCACTAGCACATTCAATATCTACACAGCAGCGGCAAATGCACACATTGTTATTAGTTAACTTACTCATCGCTCTTCTTAGGTATGGAACGTTCTCGACTGGATTCTCGGGAGCTTTGGCGCTGCTTCTTCAACAAATTCATTTTACGTACCCGTTCGGCGAGGCTATCTGTGGAGAGGATAATTAGATCCTCCGGAATACTAGAACGCGAGGGTGATGATGTAGACGATGAGGATGCTGTCTTCGATGTGGAATCGTCCACCTATATATCAATCATATATATTTTAAATATATAGAACAATCTCAATATTATGAAGGGTAAAATTTAGGGAACATTTGAGCCATTGGAAACATAATAAACGCAGAGACCGGACGGTGGACTGAAAATGTATAGTTTAGGATCCCTTCCTTTACACGTATTGTTGTTGTGTAGTTAAAAGACAAGATTATGTGGCCTATTTTTAAAATTGAGAATATGTTAACCTGAACAGTCACCCACATACTACCTGAGTAAGCAGAAAAGATCCATGTGGAATAAAACATTCTTCCAGCTTCAAACTAAGTGACTACAAATCAGCCTTTCAGGCCGAAATTGTGGGCATAATAGACGGTACCAACTTGGCTTCTGCTCTAACCAGCAAGTTCATAAACCTTCTAGTGGATAGCCAAGCTGCCATTAAGGCTATCCGTAGCGCCATTACCAAGTCTCACTGCCTTAAGTTATCCAAGTAGGCAATAAATAGACTCTCAATAGATTACTCAGTTAATATCATCTGCGTACCCAGTCATATAGGAATAAAAGAAATTAAAAGGCAGTGGAGCTAGCCTGCTGGGAGCCAGATGGAAACACAACTCCCCTACACTACCCTAGAACATTTAGCTCCTTCAAGCATTGTTTGAAGCAATGAACCCACCTCAGTTCTTGAAACACAGGCGATACCACAAAATTACTTTGGGGTAGTGTTGATGGTACTTATAGACAAAAAGGATACTACTTATAGACAAAAGGGAACATAGTAATATTGTAGGGGTCATTACAGGACTCCGACGCTTCAGATCCCATCTTCGGAAAATTGGAAAAGTGGATTCGGCGGAATGCCGAGCATACGCGGAGAATGATGAGACCCTGTAACATTATAGATGCGAATGCCCCGATTTCAGTCGGACGAAAAGGGATATATTCCACGGCTCCCGATGCTTAAGCGACAACTTAAGAAACATCGGGCAGCTGGGGTGGAAAAAAATCAGGTTTTTTACCAAATCCAGTTTGCTGAATAAAGCTTAATTTGATTACCACCCGGGCCCACAATGGACCTAATTATGGTCTAATAGCAGCCGCACACTTGTCAATTCTTTAATAAAAAAAAGTAACTCCATTTCACTGTGAAGAAGAAGTTTAGAGTGAACTTATTTATCCAAAACCTCGTGAAGCTCAAAGTTACCGGGCTACGGTTCCCACACTGATTTAAAGGTTTGCTTTATTGGTAACATTTAATTTTTTGAATCCACTAAAAAAAAATTTCATTCCTATATAGCCATATTAAGAAAGCTCCTATAGACTACCGTCAAGTTTCGTCGCAAGTATTTCTCATATCTGCAAGCTTTAAGCGCGGTACCTAGTATAACTAGCAGATCATTAATATTTGTACCACCGTTCGTTTACCTCCTTTATATCCAACGCCGTCGTATGCCGACGTGGCGGCACGGGTAGCTTCAATGTCACGTCCACATCGTTCTCCTGCGTACGACCAATGGGACGCGATTTGGTCTTTGTCGCCTGTTCGTCCGCTTCGTCGATGTCCGGTGTGGAGGCCCATGATTGTGGACGTCGTTTTAGTTCTACATTAAAGTGAACAACTATTTAGTATTATAAGACCAAAATATTGTTGTTGTATGCATTTGGCGCTCATGTTACGATGTTAAACAAGTATTTACGATACGATACGATGCGATGCGGTGCAGTGCGATGCAATTGTATGTAGTTGAGTGCGTTGCCGTGCGGTGAGTCCACATTTGCGGTACAATTACACGATTACGAACGATGACAATGTTGGTTTTTTTTATTAGTTCATATGATTGTTGTTATTGTTTTTTTTTTTGTATTTTTTTTCGATTAGCCAAAGAGATATTACATTTTTATTAACGAGTACGATTACGTTAAGATGTTATTGAAATTATGTTCGTAAAAATGTTGTTGTTGTTGGTAACCACAAAGTTACAGTAGAAACCAAATGTTGTTGTCCACATTCGACAGCGACGAAAGTGTTTTTATTGTTTTTTAGTGTGTTGAAATTGCCAACATACAAAAAAATTTTTGGGAAATATTCGAAATACTTAGTTCAAAGAAAAAAATACAATAAACAAATAACATTACGTTTTATATATTCAAAAATGCAATTACATGGTGACCAAATGGAAATGTAATCAACTTTAGGCACTAGAAGTCATAGCATTATCATAATAATAAAACAAAAAACCTCGGTGAAAAAATAAAGATGTGGGTTTTTAGATAAAGTGGTGCTAATAAAATATCGTTGAATTTGAGATATATACAAATCAGATTCTCAATTTAACCGATATTTCTTTTGAGTTTAGTAAATCTCAGAGCTAAATATATATCAAAATTTAGATTTAGACTTGAGATGCTTCCAAACTTCTCAGCAAGTGCAATTTCTTTAATTCAATTTAGTCACCCATTGTTTATACAAGTATGCACACATATGTACATACATAAGCTGTCTTATAAACCATATATGACTATATACTTATAATACAATATAATATCTACATAATTGTGAACTGATTAAAGACCAACTTATCGGTTTAAGTTTTTTTTCAGAAAACTTCAATTGAGGTAACAAAATCAAAGAGTACTTAAATAATGTACCATCTAATCAAATTAGACACGGAAAGTAATCGTTATTTATTTTTGTATTGTTTGATACAACCTTTTTTTATGTTAGTGTGAAGTATTTTAACAAATATTGAATCATTAAAAATTTCGCAGAAGTGTTTTGAGGTGTCTACTTTATCACGAACACAACTATTTGAGTGTCACAAAGCATCGTGAAGTCATTAAAAAATTGCCAGTCATCCACCCACCTCTGTTAATGAAAATAACAACGAAAAGGTTAAAAAACAAGAAAAAAAACTTTAAATTCGGTTGCACCGAAGCTATAATACCCTACACAAATACAAAATATTTCTTACTAGAATTTTGATCGTTCAATTTTTATGGCAGCCAGCTGTAGTGACTCAATCTGAACAATTTATTCGGAGATTGCATAACTACTATAGACCTTGCCAAATTTAGTGAAGATATCTCGTCAAATGAAAAAGTTTTGCATACAAGCATTTATTTCCGATTGTTTAGTTTGTATATATATAATAGCACAGGGTCTCAGCATCCCTTTTGAATCGACTCAACACATTTTGGTTAATGTTCGGATATGGAGCGTATCAATGCTAGACTAGTAGCAAAAGATCTGAATCTTTGCGGAAATGTGGTCGAGTAGATGTCGCAAAAGAGATGCTGAGAACCCTACATTTATCACGAATCATCACTGATAACGAGACTTTGGTTTGTGAACATAGCATCGAAATTATCTAACAATATAGTGAATGGCGCTTCAAAAATAAGCCGAAACCGGAAAAGCCCAGTTGGCTGAAGGTACTGAAGGCCATCCCAGCCGCGGCTTATAACAAGTGTATGGAAAATTGGCGTGCTTGTATTGGCTTAAAAGTAGCCTATTTTAAATCAAAAATTTTAAAATGAAATAGCCTACTAGAAAAAAATAGTCGTACTATACAGTACAAATCATGAGATAACGATTATTGGGTGAAATGTAGATTTGTAGTATGCTTTAAACACTCATGAAGTTAAGTTGGAATGAAAAATAGTCTTAAATCAGTTCACAATAAAAATTTATATTTAGTTCCAACAAACTGTTCGAAAACAAATATTTAATTCAAATGTATAAGTTGGATTAGTAAAATTTGAAAAGTTGAGAAAATTAAGAAAACAGATTTAGTAGTAGATAAAAATAATGTATGTGTATGAGCAATTTTGTAACATTATTTACGTGAAATTATTTACATTGGGATGTGAGACCAAAATGTGTGTTCATGATTTTTGTGTTATGGCCAGGCTCAAAATTCAAAATATGCAAGCTTTTTAAAAAATTGATATGCTTATCTTCAAAAACTTTGAAATTCTTGGAATTATGTAAATATATACGAGATCCGATTGCATACCGATATCATTGCTGCTCCCCGTGCCATTAAAACTCGACAGATTCTGTGTTGAGGTCCATGTGCGTGACGATGGTCTAAGCGAAGAGTTTTTTTTTTAATACATATTGTGGAGATATCTTTAGTAAATAATTACCTGGAATTGCCGCCGTCCGTTAAGTTTGGCGATGAGACGGCCACATCTTCAATACCCCGCCGTCCGCCATGCTCTTTGTAGTCACGAAAGCAACGTTTGCAGCGTGTCGGATAGCGGGTCTGGGGATGGAACCCCAGCGGGCATAATTGGTCACCTTTTAACGACGGATACAGATGATGCATTTAGGGGGGAAATCGTCGTGGAATAGAAAATTTTCAATTTATAACTATAAATGAAAAGAAATAGATTTACGGAGAAAAATAATTGTATTTGTATTAAAAAAGAAAAGACTTCGTAAAAAACACATTAATTAAGGAAAGCGTTAAGTTTCGGGAAAAATTTCGTTACAATCACGGCATAGCTCTTTGGAAATATTTAATAACTTTGCATATTCATTGAACAACAATAAATTTCAAACGCAACCCATAAAGGAAGTGCCCTTTCACTGTGCTATACATATATAAGGTTTAGTAAAAATAAATATATAATATTATTTTTTAATAATCTGCAGACTTTATTTATGGTAGCATAATTGGTTGGTTGAAGCCGCACTTTGGCCATCATTAAGCTCCCGGGTGGTAACTAAATTAAGCCTTATCCAGCAGCTCAGTAGATTTGGTATAATACGTGCAAAATGTCACTTAAGTTAGAGCATTGGAGGCAGTGGAATATATCCCGTTTCATCAGGCTGAAGGCTGGGCATTCGCAAAGATAATGGTCTCATCGCTCTCCGCAAATGCTCTACATTCCGCTGAATCTACTTCCAATTTTTCGAATGTGAAATCTTAAGGGTAGGTGCCTGAGAGGACCCCTTAATATTACTAAGGCCCATTTTGCCTAGAAGTAGAAGTTTTTTGGTTTGTCCACCTCAACACTATTCTAAAGTAACTTTGTGGTATGCCCTGTGTTGCAAGTGTTTCAAGACCTCAGCTGTTTCTTTAGGGTCGATAGCTTTTAACAACCCTTGAAGGAGCTGAATGTTCTGGGGCAGCTCAGAGAATTGCTTCCTTGCATAACATATCGCAGTGAGACTTAGTATTGACACTACGGATAGCCTTAGTTGCTTTTTGGCTATCCACTTGAAGGTTTATGAACTTGCTGGTTAAAGGACAAACCCAATTGGTACCTTCTGTTATGCCAATAGTTTCGGCCTGAAAAACTGAATTTTAGTAATTTAGTTTAAAGCTACCCTGTGTATGGCTTATTATAGAAGAAGCCTGGGCCAGTTCCTATTTCACCCTTTGATCCGTCTGTGAATATGTAGATTTCATGTTTGGAACTGTGGATCACAGAACCGTTGCTCCATTTTTCTCTACTGGGGAATGAAAACATTGTGTTTAATTCCTCATGGATCTACTTTTCTCGGTCACATTGCCAGTTTAACTCGAGTTTCTTATCAAGGTGGAGTATGATACCATGCCTAAAATAATGCGCCTGCTAGCGATAAGCATTGCATCATGTTTCCCTTGATGTAGTTTTCATTGCGTCTGTAATTGTAGTTGAAATTGTACCCGGGGTTGAAGGCGGCACTTTTTCGATAATACCATTCACCACATCACCGCAACATATGTTAGTATGGGACGGATGACACTTGTGTAGAGCCAATAAACCATATGGGGTCGTAAACTCCACTTTGGGGCAATGTTAACGGCCTTTTTTATGTTCCGGGATAGGCGATTCAGATTCATTCCTGAACAAAGATCTCTGTAAAGTAGATCAGATCCTTCAACGCAAGGAGGATAAGATACCTCCTTGCAGGGCGCCACAAGTGATTTGGTGAGCGATTTTTACACCTTCCCCATCGTATATGACCTGTCTATTGCTTAGCATATGACTTAACCATGCCAGTAGGTTCTGATTAATGTCAAAAGAAGCGATAGCCGACATGAGTACAGCAGTACTAGCGTTGTTAAATGCACCTTCAACGTCAATGATTGCCACTAAGGTGAATTCTAGTTTTTCTAAGGAACTTTTGATTGTCCCAACGATATCAACCGATTTTGTTTCACGTACGCGTGCTGTCTGAAACCAAAGGTTTTCGTGGGATTTGTCCTTTGATGAAATCATCACAAATCCTTTACATACTAATAAGAATGAACCGATTGTGGTCAATTTTGCACCGTTTTGTACGATAACTTATAGACATTATGAAAAGTGATATTTTACTCTCATAGAAACCTTCGTCCCTATTTCTAAAAAAAAGTGGGACAGACGATTTTCGTAAGCTTCTCTTGAGGTGAGTTTTCACAAGCAAAATCAATAGACATAGACAGGAACAGGCAGCAGGTTCGGAATATAAAGTGAATGCATAAAAACGTCCCAATCTAGCTTCCGAAGCTTCTGGCTAGTTTTTATCAACGTGTGTGGCCTAGCGTTGTCCTGCTAAAACACAATTCTTCTCCTATTATTTTTCACACTATCTGAGGAATTTTCACACTATCTGAGGAAGTAGCAAAATGATTTATCCCAAGTAAATTTGGCTGATATAGCCCAAGTGTTTTGTGGTATATGTACATTAAACCTAGTTGGGCAAAGGACTAAATCCCCTTTTTTTTAAGTTTCAAACGTCGTTGCACCAAGAACAGTTTTGTATCTTAATGTCGACCTTAGTTATGGCACTTTGAAAGCTTTCGATTAAAAGGAATTTGTGCGCGTGCCTTTGGTCTTATTTAAGTAGGCACCAATTGGGCGACAATCTCTCTTAATAACGGTATTATAAAACTTAGTAAGTGAATTATAGGTGATCGAACGATAGATAACGATATTTTAAGGTACATATAGATATTTATAATATAAACTAAAGTTATGCAAACCGAACTCTATCAAAATATAATTCATTCCGCAACTTCATGATACCTTCCACGTTAAAGACAAATTTGATACTTCGCAAAAATAATAATGACTAACTTGAATCAAATTCCGTTCATAACATTTTAATTACATTCTATTTAAAAAGGTTCAAAATGGCTATAACAATACATTTTTTAGGAGGCCGTTTAAAACTTTGAATGAGAAAAAGGGATCGAATTACTTTTTATCGAAAAAATTTGCAGTTATTGTTTATAAATAAAATTGTAATAATAACAAAAAAATCGTACGTAGATTACTAGTTAATTTTACTATAAAGCCAAATTCAAAAGTGGATTGGGAGTAATATTATATGGAGCAAAATTGACAGCTTAAAGTCGCAAATTGCCTTTTCCTCTTAACTTCGAGCACAATTTCCACTTACTTGCCTTATAGACATTTTAGGCTTTTCAAATGAGGTTTCGCTTGCTTGAATTGGGGCACAGTTTCTTTATATAATTTTTATATTCTCGCAACTTTTTGCTACAGAATATAAAAGTTTTATTCACATAACGGTTGTTTGTGATATCTAAAACTAATCGAGATAAACATAGAGTTATATACTCCCCCAAATACCGAATATTTTGGCCTCATGTGACCTATGGCTGACCTTTAACGGAAAATTTGTGTCAATCTTTGAGAAGTATTATTAAAATTCCAAGAGAATATTTTTCTCATAACAATGTACTCTTTTATCAGCAACAAATACTTCCTCTAGCCCCATATATCTAAGGGGTCATTCCATGTCAAATCGACAAATAGTTGGACGTGACTCCCACCAATTCGAATGAATTTTTGTAGAAAGTTTCGTATTATAATAAAACAAAGTTCTGCCAGAGGAAAAAATTTTCTAAAAGCTATGCAAAATTGAGATATTGCACTTTTTTTGTTTGATTTTATGAGTTTATTAATTTAATATTTCAGAAACTACTGTATATTAAATAAAGAACACTGGAGCGTTTTCAGAGGACGCTTCACTTAGAGGTATAAAAAAATTGTTTTGAAAAAAATTTTGAAAATTACCAAAATTTAAAAATTTTCAATTTTTCAAAATCGTAAAAAGTAACCATCGCTGGAAAATTTTGGCCTCAAAATTTTTTGTATTGTACCTCTAATATATCTAAAGATATTCTCAAATTTTAAGAGAGGTGTTCTTTTTCGTTTCAAAGATATGAATTTTTGAATTTTGGCAAAATAGTTTTTTTCTATTTTATCAAACTTTTAATAATCTAATTTTTTAGACCTCAAATTTCTATTATTATGTATATCGTACCGAGTATATCGATCAGTGTGTGAATTGTGTTCATAAAAATCCGGAACATATTTTCGTGTACTTTTGAGTAATACCAAACGTTAATGTAATCAGTCCAGATCTCGCCTTTCCCTATATACCTGATATAGTAGTTTCCACCTGACCTTGAACCGGTTATGTCGGTTAATATGTTAGATATTTTCATAAAATTAAAATAATGTGGCTTAGCACTGATTAGAAATAAAGCTGGTCTAGTTCTTGGTCTATAGCTTATATCCCTTATCATGATTCCCGATCCTGTAGAATATCTTATTTTACGTTGATTTTAATAAAGATATCTGAGACATGAAGCAAAATTTAGTAATAAAACTATATGAGCCTGAGGCTTATAATATACACAAATTTATAAAGTACCAAATTTGAATCTAATCCATCAGGTTTCTTCGAATAATAATTAAAAAATGTTTACTAATTTATACTTTTGCAACATGTTGCTACAGAGTATAAAAATTTTGTTCGCCTAACGTGTTTTTGTATCCCCTAAAACTAATTGAGTTAGATATAGGGTTATGTATATACAAATGATCAGGATGAAGAGACGAGTTGAAATCCGGGTGACTGTCTGTCCGACCGTCCGTCTGATTGTGCAAGCTGTAACTTGAATTAAATTAAGGTATCGTCATGACGACTTTGCCTTAACTACATTACTGATTAGCACTTATGGTTTGATAATATTTAAAAAATGGGCATGGCCCCTATATGTTTAATGTATATATCTCCCAAACTATTCCAGTTATATCACCCAAATTAGTAGTTTTTGACAATAGAAAAAGTTAGTAACGTTTTTGTGTGCTTTTCGATTTTTGACTTTTGAAAGAAATGGATCAAAGAATATGTAATAAATTATGCGCTAAAAATTGGAATAAGGCTCTTGAAATGTTGATTGTGGCAAAAACTAAACCGTTATCATGCCTCAACCACCATATTCACCAGATTGGCTCCCTGCGACTTTTTCCTATTCCCAAAACTGAAGAAACCAATGAAAGGAAAGCGTTTTGCCACAATTGATTAGGCCAAGTCAGAATCGAAGAAAGAGCTGATGGCCATACCGAAAAGCACATTTCAGAAATGCTTCGAGGATTGGAAAAAGCGGTGGCACAAGTATATTATATCCGAGGGGAATTACTTTGAAGGGGACAAAATAGATATTGATGAATAAATAAGTACTTTTTAAAAAAATTCAAAAGTCACCTTTTCCTTTAAACACACCTCATATATCTAATAGAAAGGTTTTCCAACTTCCTTCTGACTTTATACCGCATATATCAGCAAATATGTGAGTTAGCTTAATAAAATTAAGTAAACGTCTAATAACATTTTTCTTTGTGACTAAAACGGATAAATTCAGGTGAAAGCTTGCCCTAGCCCCATATAACTAATATCAGAATTTTCAAAGATCTGGTTGACTTTACTAAAAATATATTGGTGATAGTATGTTAGGTACCTTAATGAAACTGAGAGATCATCCTTTTCTGTTAATAATACATAGTAATGCCAAAATTAGATAATATCGGGCTAGTAACGCTCCTATCCCTAGTATACGTAATTCAAACTTTCAGTTGAATTTCTGTCTTATATATCGGTCAATATAAAAGATGTCTTAGCAAAATTAAATAAACGTACAATATTGGTTACACTACAACTTAACTCTGAATGTGTGTGTGTGACACTTTTGATAAAAAATAATGCTGTTTAGAACTTGGTCCTGTCTTATCCCTTATATAACGACTTTCGGTTATTTTTCCTCATACACTCATATAACGAGTGATCTAAGTAGTGGTACTCTTTTCAATAGCCCTTTTTTGACAGATAACGCATGAGTCGTGTCAAGCTGTCATGTTATTTTTGTCTTGAGATCTTAAATTGAAAACGTACAAAATTCAGCTTGGGCAAGACCTAAAGCCGCTCAACCTTCCCAAGCGACATCGCTTCGCTCTATGGGCTCTGAAAAGTTTCAAGAAGATCCGATGTTTTTGTTCAGCGATGAGGTCCATTTCTGGCTCAATGGGAATGTAAACAAGTAAAATTGCCCCATTTGGGACAAAGAGCAATTTGAAGAGATGCAAGAGATGTCCTTGCATCCAGTAAAAACAATGGTTTGGTGTGGTTTGTGGGCCTTTGAAATCATCGGTCCATAGTTCTTCAAAAATGATGCTCGGGAGAACGTAACCGTCAATGGTGACCGCTATCGAGCCATTATTACCGACTATTTGATGAATGCCTAAAATTGAAGCTCGTGATCTCTGCGACATTTGGTTTCAACAAGACGGCGCCACTTCCCACACATCGCATCAATCAATGGATTTATTGAGAGAACACTTCGGTGAGCAGATAATTTCACGTTTTGGGCCGGTCGATTAGCCACCAAGATCGTATGATATTAAACACAGACTTTTTTCTGTGGGGATATATAAAGTTTAAAGTCTATGCAGACAATCCCGCTTCGATTGAGGCCTTAGAGCAAAACATCACGCGTGTCATTCGATAGTTACCAATCGAAATGCTCGAACGAGGCATCGAAAATTGGATGGACCATCTGAGACGTTGCCACGGCCACCGTTGTAAGAGGTAATCTTCAAAGAATAATTGCCAAGTAAGGTCCTCTCGAATGATAATAAACATTCCATATTGAATTTAAATTGTCTGGGTTTTTTCTTTAAAAAAGTAGGGGTCGTAAATAATTAAATTACATTACACCATAAAAGTAAACTTTTTACGCATAAATCATAACATTTTTGAATTCTCAGGTATTTCAAAGAATGTTTTAGTAAAGACGGTGATATTTTTCGGAAAACCGGGTATATTTTTCGGAAATCTCAGATTGTGTATCTAGGTTAACATGGACATCGGTGTGTGAGTATAAAAGACTCTATATAAATATATAAGTATTATATATATAACGGGTGTTTTTTTAGAGGTATAGAACTTTAAATTGCAATAAAACAACGACGGATAATTCGATTGACATAAATTTTATTTATCCGAAAGATAATCTTGTGGCATTAGATTTTCCAATATTTGTGGCCGTATATCGGCAATAACACGGCGAATGTTGTCTTCCAAATGGTTAAGCATTTGTGGCTTATGCGCATATACCAAAGACAAGATCTTGGAGACCAATTTACAGGTCCAAATTTAAAATTAGGCAGTCACCAAAAGTGTCTTTCAATAAATCGATTGTGGCACGAGCTGTGTGACATGTTGCGTCGTCTTGTTGGAACCACAGGTCCTGGACATCATGGTTGTTCAATTGAGGAATAAAAAAGTTAGTAATCATGGCTCTATACCGATCACCATTGACTGTAACGTTCTGGCCATCATCGGTTTTGAAGAAGTACGGACCAATGATTCCACCAGCCCATAAAGCGCACCAAACAGTCAGTTTTTCTAAATCTAGGCTTATACAATGAACCAAACTGAGAATAAATCACTTGACAGCTGTTAAATGGTCGCCATCTTGAACAGTAATGCTAACTTAAAGTTCTATACCTCGAAAAAAACACCCGATTTTTAAATAATATCGATGAATTGTATAGTTACAATGTAGAAAAACGTATAGTCAAAACCTCAACCAAGGGGTTATCAAAATTTTGGATGGTATAGAAAATAATACATTGTTTGTCGGATCTGGATATCAGAAACAATATCCTCATGATGTTTTTCTTTATTAGCCTGAATTTAATGATTCAACAACTTTAGAGAGTAGAAGCGACAATGCACCTTAACTCCTTCAAGAAATATGGAGCCACTTTATATTAAGGTTTTTATTAAGCTTTTTGCACCAAAGAAATAATTGATATCTTCTTTTATCAGGTCTATAAGTTTATTAAAACTTTAAAATTATCGAATTTCATAAATACCTAATATAATAAATAATAAAATAGATCTATCTACCTACAATTAAAAAAAAAATATCGATATTGTGGTAATCGATATTTAAATATATCAGTAGTTATAACCAACCTTAATTTTGTGCCTTGACAGTGGTGAAATGATTTCAAGCTCTTATAATACTTTGAAATATTGAACTATATAAAAAATATTGTTAAATATTAAAATATAGGTCATAGACAATTGTACATTCAACAAGTTAAAATAGAGGAGTCAATTATTTTCTTAGGAATTTGGACTTTAGGCCAATGTCTAACCCGATTTCTCAGCACAAAATCACATTAAGAAAACATGTTCACTCCACTTATTCATTTAAATATAACACTTATTGATATATATATAGTCGGAAATCACTATATTGAGTATATTCCGTCTAAGGGAATACCTGAGATGATAACGTTAACTTTTGCCATTAAATTAAAGTAATCTTGACAATATATTTCTACTCAATAATCATTATTTGTACATAACATGTTGACGCTTAGGTAACTCCTGAATCGATTTCACACAGTTTCTCCACCAAAATATATATATATATATATATCATATATTGACCCATATATATTCGTGACGTAAGTTTAAATTACTTAGAATAGGTATATGGAGAAGAGGAAAAGTATTGACCCGATTTTATCCATTATTTTCAGGAAAAGATTTCCTCTATTTCATTAAGATATCTCAGAGATTGGCCGATATTTTCGATAAAAAGTCAGTCCTATGCTCTGGGATCCACATATTTGGTATCGGCTTGAAAAATTATGGACCGATGTCGAATATTTTTATGTAAGAGAGTAAGCGTACTATTTATACCAAATTTTATTCCGATATATTCATTGGTGGTAGTTTTATATGCTTTAAAGTAAAAAAACCAAATGGAATATAAACCTGTGATATATATACGTGAATCCTTATTTCGTTCGGTATAATAATATAATAAACCGAATGGTAAAGTTATGCAACAAACTTGGTGGAAATCGGTCCAGTTGTTCGTGCGAGATAGAATTTTTCAGTGAACAGTGTCATGCCCGTTGTTCAACTGGTCCACGTGTAGATCTACGTAACATACCATCTTAACTGTCAAATTTAATGCATTTCGCTTTTTTCTTTAACAATTTATCGTTCTTTTGTGTAGTTTTAAACATAACCGTTTTATGGGAGGTGGGCGTGAATATTGGTGTTAGAGAAAGTTGCTTTCAGCAAGTTTGGGTGCTGAAGTCTTGCGGATTTCAACTCGTGTTGTCATCCTGACCACCTCTCTCTTTCGTATAGTTTTAGGTTTTACAAACAACTGTTAGGTATAGATTGTAATTTGAGGAAAGCAATGCGGACTATGGACTATTGTGTCCTGGCTTGACAGCTTGCAGAGACTTGTATAAAATTGCATAAGCTGCCTTAATTTGTTTCTGGGAAGAGTGATTAGTTTCTTAAACCGTTGTATATCGAACTCTCCCAAAAATAACATCGCCTGTCGAGGCCCAGGCACTTTTTGCCAGTGGCGTTTTCTACTGGCCCTTTCCTCTTTCCGTAGCTCCTCTCGTAAAGTGTGGAGACACACTGCGAAGAACGATCCCAGTCTTATCGGCCTGGTTACCGTTGCACCTTTCGCCAGGAGATCGGCTAGCGTATTTCTATCAATGCCTCTATGCCCAAGGATCCATGCTAGTACGATATTGCTTTCAGTGGCAACTTTTCTTAATCATTTTTGATTACATTTGAACGGATGAGAACTCCCGCTTGACTATCAAAGTTTTACTCTCGAATAATATCTGTACATCTGCTAATGGTCTATGCTCAGCTTGAAAAATGCTTGCAAGCCTATATTTTATTCAATAAGAAGTATTTCGACGCCCAAAGAGCGCAAGAACTGTAATTAATGTTCAAAAAAAAAACATCATAAATGAATCAATTTCAAAATACATTCTAAAAAACTTTAATAAATATATTTATTCATTTTATGTACACTGCGATATTTTAATTTTTACAGGTAAAACCATCTGCTATAAAAACCAATTAACCGATTAGCATCAAATCAATCAACAGGTGAATATAATTTCGATATGTATTTTATGAATTTCGAAATATATAAACTAAATATACACAAATACTACAAGAAAGAATGCATGTGGTATTTCGCAAACTAACGGGACGAACGATTTCTAAACTGTTTACGAAACCGATAAAAAATACACTCGGCAATTAAGATTGAGTAGTGCCGCTGAATTTTCTAAAAGAGAGAAGTGTGCTTTCGACATGAGCATAAAATTTATGCGCAATGCGTTATTTCACGAACAACGCGCATGTTTTTTTATGAAGCAAAAATAATTCCACGAAATCACAAAGTCAGCAAGGAGAGTAAGCGCTCTCTGCGTGAGCAGTAATTATGCGGTGAGAAACGAGCAGGAAATACTTGCGTTAATTTAATTGTATTTTTAATATTATATATATATATTTTTTTTTTTTCTGTTCTTTTAGTTGCATTCCCTCGTAACCTATTTTTGGCCGCTCATCCCGAAATCTACGTAAACACATTTGGAAAATACACAAAAGACGCACCGCGAAAACGGGCACACAATGGCAATATGCACTAATGATGGCATGCTCAATCATTACTGGCGCCACTGGATACTCACCGTTTGTGCGGGGGGCGCTGATGATGCGCTAAGGATGATGCTGATGTTGTTGCTGATGTTATGGCGGCTGGTGATGGTGACGGCAGCAACACAAAATATTTTATTAGCAATATGCCGTCAAAATTTCGGATTTATGGTTCCTGGTGTGGAAGAATTTTCAAATTAATTATTACGCTGAAATTTTTCATTTATTGGAATTTTTTTTCTTTCTTAATTTTAAGGCTACGCAAAATTTTTTTATATTGATATTTAATTTTTTTTTACTTTTTTGTTAATTTTTTTTTGTTTTATGAGCAATTCTGCTGATCTGAAATACTCGGCGCAGCACACCGTTTGATTTATAGTCGATAAGACAAACTATTATTTCTAAGTTTTTATATATTTATATATTTATTTTTAATACTATGCTAAAATTTTTTTATTGATATTTATTTATTTATTTTTTTAAATTATTGTTAATTTTCTTTTTTGTTTTATGAGCAATTTTGCTGGCTTGAAATTCACGGTGTAAGAGGTCCGATATGCTCTAGTAGGATTTATAGTAGATAAAGCGTATATATTTACAAAATAACGGTACTTTTAGTCACTTTATTATGTACATATGTATGTATGTTTGTAACATATATATTTAAAATATTTGTATGTAAGCGTGTAGTCCGTGTGTCTCAGCTGTCGTAACCGCTGCTTTAGTTTAATGAACTACTTAATGAGCGCCTTTGTCGCTGAAATCACTTTGTGTATTATTAAATAAATTTATTTTTCCTTTAAAATTTGCTTTAGCTATTGTAGAACGTTTTGTTGTTGCTTTTTTCATTTTCATCCGTTTACTAATTATTTCGTCGTTGCTGCTGCCAATTTGGCTGTTGCTTTTCGGTTACTCATTGACACGGCGATTGTTTATGATAATTGTTGCTGTTGTTGTTGTTGCTTGTATTGCCGCTGCTCGTTAATAGAAACTACGTTTTTCATTCACAAAGCAAAATTTTATCAAATTGCGTAACACTTTTTCTCAGTGTATTTTTTACTTTTTTTTTTTTTGAAAAATTATAACGACTACGTGCGTTACGTTGTGTATTTTTGTTCGAAGGGAATTGTTGAAATTCCATACAGAAATACAAATATGTTAAACGCTTTATATTTCACTAGGCAGGCACAAAGGCAAAAGGCACAAACTGGCAACTCAAATTGGAACGTGTGCACGCACTGCCCTAAAAGTATTGACACAAAGATATGTACAATGGTATATGCAAATTACACGATTAGAACTTTTTTCTAAATTTTTTTGATTTCTTCACAGAATTCTTTTATATTTTTTTCTTTCTCTTTTTTCAATTTTTTTTTAATATCTTATTTTTCTTTAATTGCGAAATTCCATTTTAGCAAAAATTAAAAAAAATTAAATTTTATTCGAAAAAATTTTAACCAACGCAACTCCAGCTGCTTGTAAAATACATAATGAAAATATATTTGTATATCTGTGATTATATATTTTCATATTTGATTGTATATATTTTCTATCGAAATTTTACTGCTTTATTGAAATTTTCACATAAAAGCGCCGTCGAAAAGCAGCTGAAATGTTTAGCTGTGTTTTAAAAATAGCCGCATATTTTAAAAGTTTCTGGCGGCACACAGACAACACACACACGCACATACGATACATCGCATTAAAGATTACATTTTTTTCTGCAGACACCATAAATCGTTTGAACTCTGCACTCCACAAAATAACTTTACACTTTTTCTTTTATAAATTTTCAATATTTTTCAATTCAAGTATTTTCTTTTCTTGCAATTACCGCATTAACTTGTGCTAATTCACTGGTTGTATTCCGCTGCAGCTTTTACTTTGAAAAAATCTACATATTTCATAGTGCTCATTCTGCCTAAAATTCAAAAATAACTGTCTCTATTCATCCCTTTCGCACCAATAGTGGACAGTGGTATTTGCACGTTCGCTCGTAACGGTGTTGTAGCGGCTCGGTAAGTTAGGAAAATCGTTGCGAACTCTCGAACGTCCGTCGTAGAACTGAATGTTAGTGTTGCGAAAAGTTCTCGGAAAACTCGTGAAAAGTCAAAAATTAAGCGGAAAAGCGGAAGATCGTGAAAATCGTGAAAATCTAACGCTCCCCAGAGTGTTGAATGCGATCTTCTATTGGACATCTCTCGTAGTCATTTTCTCACTCTCTGTTTTCCTTTTACTAAAGTTTTTTTTTTCTTTTGAATGATCATTAGATTTACCGTTACTAAGAGGCACACGCGCCAGATCTGCATAACTACTAGTGGTAAGAATTTGACTCTGAACATTTTATTTAATTCTTCTTTTTTCGTCTTTTGTAAATATCTTTTTAGCGGCTGCAACGATTTGTTTAAACATATTTACATATGCACTCTTTTTGAACATTTACCGTTCAGATATACAATGTGGACACATTTATGTAGGTGGGCACGGTGGTAAAGAGCTCTGAGAAATCCAAATAAAATTGTGATCGCCGAGTTGCGGAAATGAGGGGACCTTTGGGGAGTCACAACTACTCAAATAGGTTTAAAAACCAACAGAGATGTAGCTTAATACCCTTCACAAATTAAAAAGTTTCCATACAAAAATTTTATTTTGATCGGTCATTTTGTACGGCAGCTGCGTATGTAACTATATGCTATAGTGGCACGAGCTGAACAATTTGTACGGAGATTGTACCGTTTCTTTGGACAACAATCCATGCCAAACTTCGTGAAGATATCTAGTCAAATACAAAAGTTTTCCATACAATAACTTGATTCCGATCGTTCAGTGTGTACGGTAGTATGTGCTATAGGGTCTGTTAATAGTCCAGCCAAATTTCGACATGACTAAATCGACCCACACTTACAGGTATGGTATACAGACTGCAGAAGAAATTGGCGCAGGGGTTATGGGCCCAAGAACAAAGCTGTTAATCCCTGTAGGCAAATACCCTAGCATTTTTCAAGCATACCATAAGTATTCGTCTCAGGTCATACTCACGATAACGACTATTAATCAAAAAAAAAATTGTTCGACTACTTTGGGTTCCGTGACACACAGGTATGGAAGGAATCGAAATAGCAGACAAGCTGCCAAAGGTACGGTCTCAGCACCACCGACGGGATAAGAACCCCTTTTCCAAATATGTCCTCACACGATAAAAAAAGAAACTAACACATGAGTAAAAGTAAATAAAAACACTGCTATAGTAGTGACGGAATGAGACAATCAAAGCAACTAATAGACAGCTACAACACCATAAGCTTTAAAAATATTATATTATTTAGCAAAACTAACTTAAGAATACTAACAGGTCTCTGCAGACTGGTCAAACATGTGTACAGAACAGGAATGAGCTCTGACGAATGTTGTCGCTTCAGTGAGCTATAACTCGAGACGTCAGCGCACATATTGTTGAAATGCAATGCTGTGGCTAGAAAACGGATCTAGGAGTCATGCCGCCCAAGCAAAGTCTCATTAAATCCATGAATCGAGCATCCTAGAATTTCTAAGGGCTCTAAGGTTGAACTAAATAATGTGAAAGAATCAGACGACACAATAACCATACTTTTTAAATGTACTAAGTTCCGTACAGATCTGAAGACCATAAAATCAATGTACGCCGAAAAGAGACTGTTACGGACCAATATATCAAAACACTGTCAAAAATATTTACCTTGACCATAAAACAAAGTTCATAGTAATAGATGACACTTGAAAGATAATAAACGAACGTGTTGAAATATCGTTCACAAATATTTTGGTTTTCGAAGGCGTTTTGTAAAGTGGATGCATAAACGACAAAAATAACACGAAATATTTGATTCTGAACAGTGTTTGGAGATGTTCAATCGACATAAAACAGCGTTCTTAGAATTTTTAAATGACGAAATTGCAAAGAAACTATCCCGTTTGAAGGAGATAGAGTGATTTTTCATCAAAATAATGAACGCTGACACAAATTAATGAAAACGGTGGTAAAATGACATGGCTTCGAAGTGTTTCCGCGTGCACCGTATTCTTAGGATATATCCTCCAGCAACTTTTTCCTGTCCTCGGATCATTTTACTGCTCTCAAAGATGGTATTGTATGTAATAAACACTACAGACAAAATGCCACACAACCTGTTGGTTCATCACGCCTACATCACTCGTCTAAGTGCTGAATGGTTCAAGCAAGATGGCGCGACAAGCCATATAGAGCTACCTTATTTTTTAAGGACGAATTTCTGCTGACCGAATTTATGTGATTAGTTGTTGTTGTTGTAGCAAATATTAGAGAATTTATCCTCACAAAACTTAGCAAAGATTATTGTCCAAGGCAATGCTACAATCTCCGAAGAAATTGTTCAGAGCGGACACTGTAGCATATAGCTGTCAAACAATTGACCGATGAAAATCAAGTCCTTGTATGGAAAACCTTTTTATTTGTCAAGGTAGCTTCAGAAATTTGACGTATATTATTATCCAAGGCGTCGCTACAATTTCAAGTTCAAATCAGACTACTTTAGTATAAAGTTGCCATGCTGCCCGATCATAACAAAATCCTTGTATGCAAAAATTTTTTATTAGAGAAATTATTCTCACGAAATTTAACATGGATTATTGTTCAAGACAACGCTACGATCTCCGAACAAGATATCGATCAAAATCATGATAAATATCTTTGCATACTCTTTTATACTCTAAAAAATGAACCTGTGAAAGATATTATAGCATAGCATTTTATTTTAAAACAGGGTTACATGCCTTCAAGTTAGCCCTTAGCCAAAAATCCATTGAAATGCAATTGATTGTGGAGTTTTTTTCCCCACAGTAATTTAAACACGCTTATCGATTATTTGTAATTTTACGATAAATACAAATTATACCTCAAGCTTTTTGAAATTAAATTTAATTTAATTTTAATTTAAAAAAATTTTAACGAACTCGCCATTAATGAAAGCTCAAAGATATTGTACACATTAATTTATTTACGTTTTAAATATATGTATGTATATTTATTTATATATATATATGAATAAAGATGGTCATCACATCCATCCAAAAGGCAGATGTGACTCACATTTGTTGTTGATCTTGGTTTTGTTAGATTAGTAACAGTTTCAAGTGCTAAATACAAATTTCCTTGCGTTGTAGTAATGATCATTTAATAAGTTAGTGGTAGTGAATGCTTATGATTATAATTTCATATAATAAAAAGAAAAGTTTATAGAATTATGGGTATTATGTGAACAGAAGAAAATGTAAAATTAAAGTATAATTGTTCGTGCCAAAGAACTAAAGATAGGCGTCTACGATGTAGTCGCCCATACTGCCCGCCCTATCATGTTGTAACTTTTGGTGATTCAACTGGTCCGGTTGTATTTGTTGTGCCTGTCGCACTAGCTGTGTTCCCCGTAGCTGGAGTGGGACAGCCTGTTGAAGAAACAGTAGCAACAGCTTCAATAACACTAGCACTCCCCGTGTTGGCGTTGGTTATAGTGTTCAATGTATCCGGGTGATTTATTGGAGGCATAAATGAAATCGTCACCGACTCATCAACTGGTACAGGTCCATTATTATTTTCACCAAGTGTGTGTGGCGTCGTTCCCTTGCTCGCATTAATATTATCGGCAGTGTTAGCGTTAGAACCGCTGGAGGTAGCATTAACAATGGCATTAGCTACAGCAACAGCATTAGGTAGCAGTGAAATCACTGAGTTATTGTTGAAATTTTCTATAGATGCACCCGACAATGATAACTCATCAGCCGAATCGTCAGCACCATCTGTTTGTACACCTTTTTCCTCCAACATATGTTCATTAACACGTATGGGCTGGCTAGCAGAACCGAATTGCTTCGAAATTTGCAATAGCTCACGTAAAATTTGGTTCTCTTTACGCAGTCTAGACATGGTTTCCATATCTCGGTGAACCGCATCATCATCTGCCGAGGCGGCACGCTGCATAACGACTGCCATTTCCCTGATTTTTGCCCTCTGTTCTCGTATTATTAACCACAATTCTTCATTATAAACTTCTTTAAAATTGATTTTACTTTCGAGAATTTTACTGCTGGTATGTTCACGATATTTTTGCATTATAAACTCCAAAGTGCGTTCATAATCTTCAATGCATATTTTCAGTTCTCTATTTTCTTTTAATATTTCTGAACTTGTGGCATTCTGCTGTTGTATGCGATTGACCATTTCGGAGTTCGATTTATTGTTAGAAATTTGGTTTAACGAGTCCATGTCATCTTGAAATTGACGTAAACTTTCCACTAAGCGATTATTGCCCTCTGCTTCTACGAACAAAGCATTACCCAACATCTCTAAATCTTTCACGCGACTGGCAATTCGCTGTGCGTCCATAATAATCTGTCCCACAGACATGTTAGACATCTTTGGTTATAATAAATGTGTTATATGGCCAACGTTGAAAGTGGTGTGTCGTTTTCTACGGCTCTAATTATTAGCCAACACCAATTTGGCTGTTATGCTCCGTGCTGTCTTTTATCGTACACTTTTGACAGCACTCCACTCAGCCCTACTCTTCAAGCAGCCTCCGCTTCCGTTATTTTATCGCTCTTTTATCAACTTCTATATATATTTTATTTTAGCTATGATTTTTTCATCAGCGAATGGAAAATCCAAAGTTCCTGTTGTTATAAATTTTGTTTTAGAATTTTCTGCTTTTTGTTATTAATTTGTGATTTTGTGATAACTTTACAAAAAGAATCGCTGAACAAAAAATGTAAAATCGTTCACTGACATTTGACAATTCGCCCCAATTATGAATTGACAGCAGTTAGCTTGCCACAGTGCATAAAACGTTCCGTGACTTATGTACTGCATTCAACGAGACAGAAATTCTACCAGTAAAATGGCAATTGTTTCGATAATCATAGAAGAAATTGTTTGAAAATATTGATCTTCATAGAGGTCTTGAATAGCAAATACATTCTTAATTATTTGTTTCTTACCGATTCAAACACGGTGAGTTCGCCGAAATATCACACTTCGGCCAGGTCAACCACATAGTACCGGTTGTGGTAAATAATGAGAAAATCCTACGTAACTACGAAATTAAAGTTCATTTATTTGTCAAATTTCAGACAAAAGAAAAATTAATACATTTGGAATGTAACCAATTTTTACCTTTTATGTTTTGTTATATTGACCTTAAGGGGTTAGAGGTAGTCAGAATTTTCAAAAAATGTTTTTTTTTGTTCATTTTCTTAAAATTAGAGATATCCTCTGAAAACTTTAAGCAAATCCGACAATATTCTTCGAATTATAGTAAATCAGTAAATTTCAATTAAATTTATACCTTTATACGAAAACTACTGTCTGGTCGAAGGATTCTTTTTAATTTTATAAACAATTAACAGTACAAAATAAATTTCGGTCAGGTACTAGGTTATTTATTGATGGTCATCGCAAGGAGCTTCGGTTGGAACTGGATCAACACAACTTTTAAAATAAATATATATATTTTTTTATATCTTTCAGGTCGAGTCGAAACCTTATTTAACGACGATATGTATAACATAAAAACAAATAATTACTGCTAAAAGAACTACCTAAAATTGTAATTTTTTTATGTCTCTGACAACACTTTAACCATTTATAAAATTTTTTTTTTAAATTTTTACATTTTTAAACCTCCGCAACTATATAGGCAACTTACTGCTTTGCTTGCTTCTTCAAACGGAAAATTTTAGTATTTATTAAATTCCACTTTTTTCTTAGAATACAAAGTACTCTGAAATTATTAATGAGTAATAAGTGTTGTTGTGACTATGTGTCATTACAATTATAAAGTATTCCGTAAAACTTTTTACTATTTTTAAAATGGGCATACTTTCCTAAGCAACCCTGTGTGGAGATGAGTTTGTTTAGAATGAAAATTGAAAGCAAATTATGCGCAAAAACATTATTTGTTGTTGTACTGTTATGGAAACAACAAGAACGAAAGCTGCATCTAATCTTTCACTCTTTTGAAAACAAAAGAAAAAGCTGATATTGTCAAAGCTCAGAATAATGTCAAAAGCATAATAGAAAAGTCATATACGAATGTCCAGAACGAAGGATTGATTTCATTTCTGAATTGGATTTGCGTAGAACATTCGACTGAGTAATCGCGTAAAAACGAAAACAAAATTGTGATATTTGTTGTGAATAACTAAAATTAAAAACATTTGAAAGAATTGTGTAGAAGAAATTTTTGTGAAATCTAATTACATAAATTGCGCAAAAGAGGGCTAGGTGTGGGTGGCGAAATTCGAAAATTCGTCGACTCATATCCAAAACCTCTACAAGCAGAGAACAAAAAAAATCGATTTCTGACTATGGCGTATAGTCAAAAAGTATATAATCCTGTGGCAATAAAAATGGTTAAACCATGCCACCATAAGAAGTGTGCTAAAGGCGCAACAGCACCGCTTCATAGAAAAATTACACATCGAAATAATTTTCTACGAAATAGTTTCTCATTGGGCAACAGTAACAGCAAAGACAGTGCTGATGTTGATAGCGGTGGGAAAGTCGGTCACATATGGTTTGGTAATAACCGCTTATCAAATGTAATTTGCACGTTTCTACTATTAGCAGCACTAACGCATACCGCCAATGCAACGGCAACGGATATTGCGCTGGACGCAAAGGCCACACTAACACATAGAATTGATAGTCTTAATCTGTTGGTATATACCTTTTTGCTGACGCTAACTGTACTGACTATTTGGCTGTTCAAGCATCACCGTGTTTCCTGGTTACACGAAACTGGTCTTGCCGTTATTTATGGTAAGTTTTAAGCTTCCATATGTCAATATTCTGCTGTAATGTTGCCCCCCCTCTCCAATCAACACAAGCCTCCAATTGTAATCGTAATTAAATGAAAGAAGCTTTTAACTACAACACAATAAATCGATTCATCAAATATTGCAATTGTGACTGTAGTGTTTTTTATACCCTGAACAAGTTTTATTAAGTTTGCTACGAAGTTTGAAACACCCAGAAGGAATTGTTAGAGACCCTTTTAAGTACATATGTATATTTGTATTTAAATTTGTGAGAACCGTCGATATCGGATCACTATGGCAAATAGCTGTTGTTGTGGTAGTGGCAGAATTCTATCAAGTTGACGGTCCTTGGTCGGATAAAAATTCGGGTCTGTTCCGGTTACGTAGATCCGACTGTCGTGGGAACGGAGCAAATAGCTTTCATAGACTAATGCTGGAAACAGTCACCGCTTCTACATACCGTACGGTAGGATATCCGCGAAAATTGGATTTTTCCCCTAGAAACGAGTCAGCTGATTGCTCTCTTGCTAAACTAACTAAAAATCCCAGTCGAATACACTATTTTTAATAATTGAAAAGCTAAATGTGTACAAAATCATGTATACAAATTGCGCAATGGCAACATTGGAGAAATGAAAAAAAAGAACAACTGATTTCTACGTTGCCACTAGGGGTATAACTTTTGACAAATTTTGTTTAATACCGGTATCTCAAGTATTTGTATGGAAAACTTTTTTACTTGTGAGGGGTATTCAAACTTCGGTGCAACCGAAGCTAACAATTTTCTTGTTTATAGAACTCATTGCATGCACTACACCCCCTTTTTCTATACTAGAGGCATACTAGTGATTATAAAAATAGTGTAAGTAAATAAACTATTCAATCACTGTAGTGCAAATAAAATTCTTAATTCACTTTCAAGCTCTAAAGGTATTATTATACATTCATAAGGTAAATATGCTTGAGTGCAAAAATTTGAGCTGATAAAAGAACACAAAAGAAGGTGTTAACCTAATCAGTTAGACTTTTCGTGACATTGATAACATGATTTAAGCTACCCAAAATTGGCGCGTATATAAGTATACATAAAATTGTAACTCTGTGAAATGCACTAGTTCCAAATATATGCAATACTGGAACAATTCATGAAAATTAATAATTGGTCAATAAGTTTTGTTAGCCCAGAGCAGAATTTTTTAATTCACAAATTTTGGCTATGTTTTCAATTTTTAATTCCGGTGTTGTTTAATTTTTGATTTTTGGCATTAAAATTTGAAAATTGTATTTATTAATTTAATAGAAAAAATTAAATATTTAATTTCTAATACCAGAATTAAAAATTGATAAAGTATAAATCGTATATTATAGAATATTATTTTTTTTTAATTTAATAAAATTATAAAAATTTTGGGGTTAAAAAATACGTATACACATATTATGAATTTAGAATTTCATAAAAAATTGCGTGCAAATTTAGATGGCATCATAACATGTTCGGTTATTTATTACAATTTTTCTCTATTAACAATTAACATATATTATAATTTTCGTGTTAAGTACGAATCTTTGAAATGCATCAGCGATATGTGTGCAAAAGCTTATATGAGTAAAAAAATGCTTTTAAATAATTTCATACAATTAATAGAATTTTTCCACGAAATATACATGCAGCTGTGTAAATTCTTAAAAATTACGATATTTTTACATACATAACTATAAAATGTATATATGAAAAATGCATAACGAATCGCAAGAAATTGCTTAAAAACAAGTTGAATGGATATCATTATTAAATTTTTTAATGACACCGTAGTGGGTAGTTAAATGAACATACATACATATGTACATGCAAACATGTACTCCAATGATTTTTTACCGCATAATGACTAATGGAAGAATTCGTTTCGCCAACTTGAATTTGCGTGAAGCGTTATCACAAAGCTTACATACATATGTACATGCTCAAGTTTAAGGTATGCGCGCATGTAATATATTGTAATTTGTACTCTGTAGTAAACACATACATACACGACTTAGAAGTACTACTGACACATTATTTATTTAGATTTAATGCTCTGACACATTATTTATTTAGATTTAATGCTACAAACATTTGTATGTATGTATGTTTATTTTGCAAAATAACAGACGGCTTTGATGCGGGTTTCACAGAAATGATAAGGCAAATAATTCTGTGGTCACTTGGAATAACATCTGAACTCGATTTTGCAATGTCCAGGCTTTATGAAAACTGTAAACATAATTATACCCTGAACAGGGAGAGTATATTAAGTTTGCCACAAAGTTTGTAACACTCGAAAAGGAAACCTCGAATACTCAGAAAAATTTGTATAAAAAATATCAGTGTGACCAACGAGCCGATTTAGTTATGTCCGTCCATATACACATATGTAGATATCAATCTAAAATTTTGCACACTTGATGTTTTCTACCGCTACAACAACAACCGATCAAACTCAAGTCCTTATGTGGAAAACTTTTTTTCCACGACAGGACTACAATCACCGAACAATTCGTTCAGATCGGAGAACTATAGCTGCCATACAAACTGACCGATCAAACTCAAGGCCTTGTATAAAAAACTTTTTTATTTGACAAGATATCTTCACGAAATTTGGAATAAATCTGTAAAAACACAGGTATTTTTTGTCAAGCATCTATAAAAAGTTGATCCAAAAATACTACCTTGTAGATTTATAAACAAATATTGTATACTTCGCCCCATGAACTCAAAACGAATAATATGCTTACCTTGTTTGATAAGATGCAGCAAAATACAAATTGGTGCTGTTTATTTACCTTAAATGTATACTGCGATGACAAATACATATGTATACACTTGTTTAGCTAATTTTGTTAAACATTTTGTCTACAAAACCAATACTATAGTACCTATCTGTATCTTCTAATAATTTTAACAGATTGTTTCATTGCAAAAATGTTGCCAGAGCTTAGTAATTGATATGCAAGGCACGTCGGAAACTTCGAAATACTATTATAAGATTATTACCAAATTTTAGTTTTTTTTTTCAAAAGCTACTCTAAGAAAAGCTAACTTTTTTTATTATTATTATTTTTTTTTTTTTGCATCCACCATACATTTCGTAGTTTCAAAACAAAATGTTTACGAAATGTATAGGTTAAGTGAATATAGGATCTCACATTACTCCCATTGTAACGGACGCTTTTAGAAAAAAACGAAAACAAAAACACTTACATATGTTAAAGGCAACTCAAAAAAAGGATTATTATGAAACTTCTCTATATTTCTATGCTTTCACTTTTCTACTAAGTATTTTTTTTTTTATAAATCTATCTTTTCTCAGGACTGATTGTTGGCGCTGTTATACGCTATGCCGGCACTTCGACGCCACTTGTGCACTTGGAAGTTGACCCAGCAGGTGATCCAAAGTTTAATCAATCTTTGCCACCTGATACATTATGGATGAAGGTAAAGGCAACAAAAAATAAGACTAACTAATATTAAGCTAAATTTGCCATTTGTTTCTTTTTAGTTTCCCGGCAAATTGGCTCCAAATACCACCGATCCTATATCGAATAAGACATATGCATATGTTTTTCGCGGCATAGTATACGATGTGGATGAGAATGAAATCGATTTGAAGGCCACTTTTGATCCGGAAATATTCTTCAACATAATACTACCGCCAATAATATTTCATGCCGGTTATAGTCTCAAAAAAGTGAGTGGTTACTCAGTTGCAATGAAAATCTCTAATAATAACTATTGGTTTTAATTTTCTTAACATTTTAGAAATACTTTTTTCGCAATTTGGGCGCAATTTTGATGTTCGCCATATTGGGCACGACTCTATCATCGTTCCTAATCGGCGCTATTATGTACGGCTGTGTGAAACTAATGCCAGAGTATTTGAGTAGTAGTTTCACATTCCTGGACACGCTGTATTTTGGAGCCTTGATATCACCAACAGATCCACTAACAATATTAGCAATATTCCATGATTTGCATGTGGACGTAAATTTATATGCGCTGGTTTTTGGTGAATCTGTACTTAACGATGCAGTGGCCATTGTGCTGAGCGGGTAACTACTTGTATAATTATGTGCATAAATAATCTAATACATATAATTAAAAAATAATTATGTTGTTATCTTTTAGCGCTATACAAAATTATGGCGAACATTATTCGAGCACAGGAGGTTTCGAAACAAATGCTTTCTTCAGATCATTGAGCGATTTCTTCTGTATTTTTATGCTGTCGTTATTGATTGGCGCAACAATGGGCTGTTTTACTGCATTGATATCCTTTTGAACAAAATTTTCACCAGTTTGTTTTTTAATTGCTAGTTTTGTTCTACATTATTTTATTTTCCTTTATATATTGCTTTTATTTTAATGAACTACTTTTTAATAATTTAATAATAATTAATCTTTAATATATTATATTTTTATAATTTTATTCTTATTTATATGTACATATATTGTTAATTTTTCAATAGTTACTTTTTAATATAATATATATTTTTTTTATATAGGTTACATTTAATTTTTTTATCGTTGACTTTTTTTAATTTAATATTTTTTTTATTTTTTTCATAATTTATATTTTTTATAAGTTATTTATTATTTTTTTATATTATAATACTTTTTTTTATAATTTGTTCATAAACATATATTTTGTTTATTCTTTATATATTATTTTTTAAATTTATTTTTTTATTTTTATTTTTACAATATTTTTCTAACTTTTTATAAAAATTTCCTTAACTGCCACTGCACTTGACTAAGTTTACACGCGTACGCGAGTTCCCGTTACTCGAGTCCGCGCTCTTTGTGCTTATGTCGTACAGTACTTTCCTGATTGCGGAGGCTTCGGAATTGACTGGCGTAGTGGCTGTGCTATTTTGTGGTATTTGCCAAGCGCATTATACCTTTAACAATCTATCGGAGAATTCGCGCACGCGCACAAAGGAAATATTCGAATTATTAAATTTCTTGGCGGAGAATTTCATCTTTTCATATATTGGCGTTTCAATGTTCACCTTTCCAAAACATCATTTCGATGCTGTCTTCATCATAACCGGTTTCGTAAGTAGAAATAAGCGCTTGTTGTTATTTTCCAAGAAATTTATTTTTATTTTTTCCTAACTGTGCAGGTCACCGCTGCTATTGGACGCGCCGTTAACATTTATCCGCTATCTTGGCTGTTAAATTTGAATCGTAAACCGAAAATTTCATCGAATTTTCAGCACATGCTCTTCTTTGCAGGTATAATAACGCTTTTGACATCATTATAACCGTTGTTTGCATAAAAATTTGCGCTTTTATAGGCTTGCGCGGTGCCATGTCCTTTGCCTTGGCCATACGCAACACCGTTTCGGAGGCACGTCAAACAATGTTGACTGCAACCTCGTTAATTGTTATTTTTACGGTCGTCATACAGGGTGGCGCATCTAATTTTTTGCTAAATTGGCTTAAAATACCGTAAGTTTTTGAGTTTTAATATTAGAATGGAAATGTGTACTGATGCACATATACTTAATTTCTTACTCCGCAGTGTTGGTGTTGATGAAGAGACTGAACAGCTCAATAATTATCGCGTACGCAGCGTGAGTACTATGCTTCATTTTGCATTTTTTTATTGTTAAATAATTCTGCAATTGGTTTTGGGTTACATTTTAATTAATTTGTCTAGCATCATTAATTGTGTGTAAATGAATTGCATCTGTTTGCTTTGATGCGCCTGTGAATTTTTAATAGTTTTCATTAAATAATTTATCATTTGAAATTACTGCTAATATAATATGGCAGGCGATAAGAATTTACAATTGAAATTATATACATTTTGACATTCGTTTAAGTGTGTGTTTACTGAATTAAAAAAAAAAAAAACTATTATCGATTTGTAAATACATGCCACAAGCGTTTATCGCTAAATTTAAAGCATGTTGTTTTAAAGAGTCCAGCTAACTAAATAATTCAAGTACAAACAATATTTATATGCGTAAATTATTATGAAGGTAGCACAATTTTTATAAAAAAAAATCAATAAGTATTTAAAAAAAAATTTAAAAAAAAAGAATCAAAAAAAGTAAGTAAAAATAAAATAACAAAAATTAAAAAAAAAAAGAAAAAAAAATTGCGCCAGTCTCATCATGAAATATAGCATACCCTTAACAACTTAAGCGCACCATTGCTTACTAACTTTAACCATAAAGTTATAAATCTTTTTATATGTACACTTGTGAATCATTAATACCTGATCGATTAATTTTCTTTATTGCAATTTCAATTCTCATATTTTTTCTATCGCCTACTTTAACTACCGCATCATTCCACACATCCAATTAACTGCAATTAAATAATGCAAATACACCAATTCGAAAATAACTAAATCCAATAAAGGTTTATAATTCAATGGAAAATACAACGGCTGCGGTATGTGCACTAATCATTCATAAGCTTCATAAGTAAAAGATATTTATATTTACAATTCAAATTTTTTACCATTTTAATTATTCGTTGAAATGTTTTTGTTTATCGAAATCTACTCACTTTTATTACTAATTTTTTACAGCACAATTTACTGTGATTAAACTCTTAGTCGTTATTTCTAGCACTTATAAATATTAACATTTAATTGCACACCTTTTATCACACTTGCCAAAATACTATTTTTTTTTTCACGGTACCACCAGGGTTGCAAATAATGCATTCAAAATATTTTAATTAATTTTTCTTTTATTTTGTGATCATAAAAATCTTGATTAAAAATAGTATTAAAATTTCTAATAGCAAAAACCAGATATAAAAATTAAAAATAAATTTTTAATACCAAATACCGCATTGACAAATGTAAAAATATTAATCACAAGTTTATAATTAAATATTAAAAAACAAAATGTTTTTGAATTTACATTTTTTCACGCTTGCGTACTGCGTGTTCTCACTTTTGAACTAGAGCTCGCGTGGAGCTATCATCCTTCTACATAATTCAAATGATTTACATTTTATCAATTTTTAATTCTGATTTTAGATTAAAAAAAAATTTCAGTTATTTCTTAAATTTTTAAAAAATATAAAAATATATATATTATTAATTCTGATTTTGCAATTAATGGTTAAATTGTCAAATTTTAATCCTAAAATTTTGATCGGAAATAAAAATT